TACATATGAAAGGTATTGGTCTCTGGTTTCCGCCTCTCAATCAGTGTAATAAGGACACAGTCAAGCCTAATATACCTCACCGATGAACACTCCCAAAACCTGGCCCGAGCTACTAACTGTAGTACTCGATCATCCTCCATCTCCCAGCCCGAGTGACACTGGGAATGGTCCACTATGCTGATTTCTGCTACGGGGTGCACATTAATCAAAATTGATAGAATTTATTGAGAAAATTTAAAACTAGCGCCAAAAATAAGGAATATATATACAACATTTTTTACTTGTCTCAAGCCAATCTTGTGTGAACGATGATCTATCTGAAGGTATAATACATCAGGTTGCATCAGTCCTGAATCCATAATGGATATCTCTGAGATTAAAATACAATATGTTAGATTTTTTAGTTGAATGACTTAATCATATGTATTTTGATGGCCAAAATTAAGTAAAGAATACATCCAGCATAGAAAAGAAAAATAAGAATAGAACATGCATAACGATTGTCACATATTCAAGATTCAAATAAAAGGTTATATATTACAAAAACAATTGTCACATGGGAACAAGGATTAAAAATAAAAGGTTATATATTACAAAAACTATAAACGATATATTCTATACAACTATGCCTGGATAATCAACGCCTAAGCCTAGATGGACAACTGCTTTTGTTGTGGCCCGGTTGATCGCACCTTTTACACTTATTTTTCCTCTTGATTCCTTCTCGACCGTCATCCATTCTAATTCGTATGGAACAAGGTTGCCCAACTGATCTTTTATACAAAGGAGATAATATATGTGTCCCACCTTGTGTCCAATGTCGACTATCATATGGTGCATGAAAACACTCTTTGTACGTTTGTTGATAGTTATAAGTTGAATACCAATCTGCAACGAATGTACAATGTGAAATCCTCACACCACTTTGTAGATCCAAGCAAGCCGCGATAATATGGGAACAAGGAAGTCGTTGTAATTGCGGTATATTACAAGTGCATGTACAAGTGTGATCCACTAGTATATTAACTTTGTAAAAACGACTTTCTCTATGTGATATTCCCTCAATGACCTCCCATTCATTAAAACTATATCTAACGACATGAAATGATCGAGCCTGCACAATTCGATCTGCTAATATGCCTTCAACCTTCAGCGTCAGCTCTGACGGAATATTTTCACCAAGTGTGCGTCGTCTGAGGAAGAATTTATTAAGTCTGTAAAATATTTTTGCAACTAATTATTGTATTGGCATACTACGTGCTCCCTTAAGCACACCATTGAAACTCTCAGAAACATTAGTGGTCATCATACAAAATCGTTTCCCGTCATCTTCACACAAAGCCTACTTATCAACATTGTTCGGACCCAAACTAGTCTCGATCCAATCCTGTGCAGCTCGTGAAATGAACTTAATCCTCTCCCGTAGTTGCTCATAAACTAATTTTTCCATTGCACATCCAGCTTTCCAAAGAAGATCTTGAAGCTACACTTGTCCATGCTTCCTCTTAAAGTTGTCCCTAATATGTCGCAAGTAATAGCGATATTGATGTGGCAACGAAAAATGTTATTGGAGTGATATTGGAATTTCTTTCATCCTATCGGATATGAATGTAATCGATCACGTTCACACACTAGGGATATGATATCTAATGTATGCAAAAAATCATGCCTAATTTTTCGTGTTTTCAACATCAACCACTGCAAAAGCCAAAGGAAATAAACTGCCATCTTTGTTTACTCTGGTTACAACAAGCAAAATGCCTTTATATTTACCATACAAGTGGGTGCCGTCAATGCTAAGAAGAGGACGACAATATCTGAATCCCTCAATGTAATGCCCAAATACCAAAAATACACCTATGAACCGTCTATCTCCACCATCAACAGGGTCTGATGATACTTCGTACACTGTCCCCAGACTTTCTTTTTTGAGTGCTTCAATATAATGTGGTAAGATCTCATAAGATTTGTGTGACGCCCCTGGTTTCACACAATGCTACAATCCAAGGTGAACCCAAAGATGTCAAACCTGTCATGCACCCAACACTATTCATAAACATGTTTCATTGTCACAATTACTATCACTCTAGCAGATGTCAAAAATAAAAAGTGAAGGTACAAGCAGATATATCAAAGGTGCCGATACAAGGAACACAATATAAAGAAGAGATATCCAATAATAGCTATAATTATGTTTCAACAAAAAAGAGAAAATACATCTGATAAACTGGAATAAGAACATCGAATCTCTAATACATAAGAGTCATCTGAAAAGTACAATGGCAGCCAGCATCCAAAATAAAATGCATCTCTAAAAGAAAACTAAAATCATAAATGTTTCACAGTGGAGCACTAACTAGCTACCAAAGAATGACGGTGACTATGCTGGATCCCCGTCAACCTGTAACTCTCCGAAACTCTGACCCGTTACCTGAAAAGAGGTGAAAACAACAACGTCAAAGAGCTAGCAAGAACATCTCTGCCAGCCCCCAGGGGAAGAGCTAACACATATAATGGAGGCTCTACCTATAATATGCATAATCTATCTATATCATTTACCCTGTACTAAGAGAAGTTAAGATTTAGAAACCTACAACACGAGATGAATACATCGAGGGGATAATCCAAACAAGAAAACCCTCATATATATACCATGTATCTCAAATTGTGGATCATCAAATATCAACTCCGGAACCTATAAATAAATAATCAACAAAAGAAAATACATCACTAACACCTCATCCAAAATACTTAGTATATATCATATTATAACATTTCACACTACCCTTGGGTAGGTGGCATGTAAACGAAAAATACAAACCTATGACAAACCTTGTCAAGGACACTTCGTGCATGTCTAAACACAATATTACACACTACTCTCAAAGTAGATGACACGGGAGCAAATACACAATCCTGTGTAATTCCCTTCAATGAAAATGGTGTACAGTATAGGTGCTCACAATATCCCGTGGCTCATCGTAATATCATGCGGCTCACTACCTAACTCGGACACCCAACGGAGTATATGCATATCAGCCTAATCCGGAACATAATGCAAACAAAAGAAATGTGGAGCGCGTGAATTAAGCTTCCAAGGACATTTTGCATTTCTATCGTGGTGCCCACCACTATCTTCTTCCTCGCCATCTTTGCGGTAAAAAAACTACATTATAGCTTGTTGCATTATTTTTTGTCTGCCTAAACTTGACATTTTTTTGGATGACTCGCAAACGAAGTGCATAAATTAATTTTTCCTTATTTTCAAATAGATCGCCCTTTCTGAATGAGAAGTCCTCGTCTTGTGTATCATTAACTATATTAGTGCCTCTAGGAATACTTTCCATCGTGGAGTTATCAATCCATTCTTCTTCATGAAGTTCATTAGGCGGCGGATCCTCTAACACGATATACTCATTGTTAGAGTAACATCGGTCAATATATTGGTCGTCCCCTTCATCACGATCTATCAAACACGTCATGCTATTGATTTGTAAGTCATCCTCTTCGCCATCATCCTCGGGTTCGACACTTGCATTATCATCTTCTGTCGTCACTCCTGTGGAAGACATTATATATTGATAGGGAGCCGTATCATTGAAGGCATTTGAAGTGTCCACAAGTGAAGGACCGATCAAGTATTATGACTGTGTCTATCCTATATCTTGTTGCAGAGATAAAAAGCTGGCGGAGTCAACTTCAAGGTCCTCCAACATACGAGAGTATACTCCGTCATGATTCATCGATTTGCCTAAATTTCCGTGATGCTTTTCAATAAATAATTCCACCGAACGCTTCTCGTCATGCAATATTCTAATAAGACTCATATTGTAGTTACTTGAGATTTGAATGTCGCTTGTTCTGTTCCCGTAACAGGATAATTGCAAATAACGTTGAGGTGATACTCATGTGGATTGGTTAATGTAAGTTTGTGTAAGTCATTAACCAATTCATCAAAAGTACATGATTTTGATATAAACAATAGATTCGTCACACCTCCTTCATATACGGGAAAATTATTCTTGAGGTAATTAATCTTTCCATCATATGAACAAAGAATTACGATTCGATCGTTCATTATTACATCTGAAGAGTAAAAAAATTCCAATATCAATATTACATGAAAAACAAAAAAAATATTAGTTACCTTTAAATCCTCTTATATTAATTTTAGACATCCATAATTTTAACCAAATGTCAAACCTTTATAATATACTAACTTTTACAATTTTTGATAATTTCTCCTCTAACTTCATACACAGATTTCTTTAACTTTTCTTCACATAATTCATAAATATTTCAAAATCTAAATTTAAACAAGTTATTAACATGAAATAGTGAGAATATGAAAAAAAAATTAGGAGAAAAAATAAAAGATTTTAAAGATTTTACCTAAAATTTGCCGATGCCCTAATTTCCGATGAACTACGGCAATGACGGCGGCGCCGTCGGCGGGATCGACGATCACCGGTGGACAATGCGACGGCGACAGTGGCGACGACAG